AATAGAAAATACAAGCTTTCCTACTAGGAATAGTTACCGAATGAGTAACTGACTGATAATTCAGCTGAGTGTAGCCTAGAACTTGGGGTATCTCTAGATAAGCTCCATATAAAGATTCAGCTTTGAGGCTTGCAGAAAAACTAAGAGACCTGTTTTAGGAAAAACCGTCGTTAGCAGGGGGAAATTGCACTAGGGTCTGGAGAGTATGCGCTTCCAAAGGAGAGTGTAGCCAAACGCGATATTTGCAAAACTCACTGAGTTTCAGTGCAATACAGTATGTGGCACCCACTCCCAAATTATTAAATAAATGGAATAAGTTTTATTTTTGCATGTGATGGGTAAATAAGGTATACTGGAGTTCATTTTGGCATTTTTATTTTATATACAATTGCAGGAAATAGCCAGCTGCACAGCATAGTGCGTGCTTTACAGAGCCGGTCAGCTATTTATCAAAGTATTAAAATCCATGCATTTTTTTGAAGCTTCCTCATACATGTAGTTTGTATATATTGTAGATTATGTGTACATGTATCTCTGAGGAGGTTTCAAAGTGTTTGTGGGAAAATTCCAATATATTTTTTAAATTCCATATTTTCATGAACTTTTTGAAATTGCCTTATATATACAAAAGTACATACAAAACAATGTCTATATTTATGGGAAAATAAGTGAAACTGATTTTTCACACTGTATTTCCTCCATTCCCCAGAGGAAACTGGTGCATTGAGGTAATCCACATTCATACCCGTCTAGTTTTCTCTTTATACAACAAAGATCGTATGAGAAACCCGTGCTGTGACTCATTCGCTCCTCTGACTCTCTCCACTCTTTTGAACTGCGGCAGAATCTCCCAAGGTCAGGTGTAACACTGTTCTGCCAGTGATGGATCTGTGGGCTCTTTGCAGTTTTATTACCCAGAGCAGGGTAATGAATGTCTCTGATGGACAACTTTTCGCACGAAGACAGGTGTCTTTAGAGCATAGATGGCAACACACAGAATAATCAGACGAAAGGCTAAGTCACGTGTAACATTCTTGGCAGTCATGTTTTATTTTTGGTGAAGGTTGAGACAGCAGTTCATGGTCTATAGACGATGGTTCTGCACATCGGCTCCACTGGTCAGTGCTTGAACGCCTCCTCTTTCTGCACCGGTATTCCCATTTCAATCACCGGGCTCCCACCGCCTTCCATTCTCTTCTTTGTTCCGAAGTCACTTTTAGCCCCTCTGTAGCTACAGGAGCCCTGGGGTGTGGTGGGTGAGCTGCTACCACAAGGTCAGGGATTTGAGCCCATTGGCCAGTCGTTGGGAGCAAGATGAAGCTATGTGCTCGGCATGGTTTTCCGTATGTGAACTCCAGGCCCGGTGAAGCCACGGAGACAGTAACTGAATGAATGGTTTCTTGGGGGTGTGGCAGGTGAAGTTGGAGGGAAACGGGAAGCTAATCACAATGAGTACCAGAAAGAAGATGTTCTAAACTTGATGGTGGTGGTGATTGTACGACTCTTTGATAGGCTTGAACTGTTGAATTGTATGATATGGGGTTTATGTGCAATAAAACTTTAAATACATTTATGTTTGTGTAAAAATAATAAAAAGAAAAAAGATCGAAAGTCTCCGAAGCTGAAAGGGACTGTCGGGCCGTGAGGCTTGCTGTCAGCGAGACTGTGACCTGGGGGAGTTTCCATTTAAGGTTTGGAAAGCATCTCAGAGCAGCACCCCTTCGGAGCCCCCCAGGAAAGGGGGGTCTGGTTTTTCTGTCCTGCTCGTACCCTTTACTGACCTTTGTTTTACAAGGTCATCCGTACTTTGGAGATTAATCATTTGTCTGTTATGTGTGTTACAGATATTTTTCTCTCAGCCTATTGCTTGTCTCTCACTTTTGTTGGTGGCATCTTTTTGCCTAGAGGGTTTGTATGGCATTTAGGTAGAAGAAATTGGTCAACTAGGGAAGTTTAATCAATTGAATCTAGTGGTCGGAACGGCTTTAGTTAGTTTTCAAATTTACATAGGCACGTAATTGTGATCAATAAACCTTTTCGACGTTAAATAATAGATCTACAGGCTTGCTTATTTCCCATTTTCTCTTAACTGGTGACTCTTACAACTGCTCTTATGCTAAGACTTTCCGCAGGTGTGGGAAGGTTCAAGACCACTGACCCAGAAGATGGATTTGTAAATGCCTGTAAAGACTCAGTATCAACCGCCGTGGGGTCTGTTCCCGCTCGGGGCCACCCATGCGTGTCGGTGGACAGCAGTGCCCATTAGTGGATTTAGGGGGCCTTTTTATCTTTTCAGAAGTAGATTGACCGAGGCACCTCTGGATCCACTGGAAGCCCCAAGCATGCAGGTGGCAGGTGGACACCCCAGTGGTTTGCATCTCCCAAGAAGTCTGTAAATAATCGATAAGCTTCATTAGTCAGGATTTTTTTGTTGTTGGAACTAGTGGAAGCACAACTAAAATTAAACAGGAGGTAGATCGTCTCTATTGACGTAACTGGGAACTCCAAGAGAGGTTCTGGCTTGGGCCACAGCTCTGTCTCTTTGTTTGTTGGCCTGACTTATTGCTACCTAACATCGGTCTTTTCCACCATCCCTGGAGCCTGTCCACGCAGGGGCAGATGGATGGGACAGCTCCCAGTCTCCACTCTTACAGATAAGCAGCCATAAGAAAGCCACCTTCTTCAAGCATCTGCCGACCACGTCTCTCAAGGACAAGGAGCCCAGTTGTCCATCACTGTCACCCCATTTCCCCTGACACCAGCCACACAGGGTGCAGTGACTGACAGTTCCACTCAGGGAGTCTGAGGGACAGTTTCCGAAGAAAGAGTGGTGCTACGTGTACACAGCACAGACTGTGGGGTCCCCTGGGACACCTAGAAGGCCATGGAAGGACAGCCTTGCCTGAAGGCAGGAGTGGACAGCGGGTAGGTCTCCACCTACCACCTCCACCTTGGCAGCTGCCTTCACCTCTCCCAGGCTCCCCTGTCCAGTGGCCTCGTGAGGATGACTGAGCATGCCTGTGATTGGCATGCTCAGAGGGTCACAAGGTGCATGACAGGGGCTAGTAGATGTCAGCCCCTACTTCATGCTTGACAGTTCTCCTCCTCGTTGTCGTTATAGACTCCCGAGGGAATCCGGTGGGAAAAGTTTGTGTGGAAGCTATGCCGGTCGCCCCTCTGAGCCCCTCCTGGGGCTGCTCCCTCACTGTTGCATAGATATGGCCTTGGGAGGTGGGTGGGGACGTTAGGAAAGAGGTAGGACTCAGCGAGGCTTAAGAAATGGGTCAGGAATCAAACCAGATCCGTTGCCATCAAGCCGATTCTGACTTGCGGCAGCCCGTGTGTTAGAACAGAAGTGGCCCCATCACGTTCCCTTGGCATCGTTACGAATGCAGATCACTAGGTCTCTCTCCTAAGGCCCCACGGTCTCTGCTACCGAGTCATTGCTGAACTGAGCAACCCTGTAGGGTAGAACTGCCCCTGTGCATTTCTGAGATTGCCACTCCTTAGGGGAGTCTGGAGCCTCCTCCTTCTCCAGGGGAGCGATTGGTCTCCTGTGCCGCCTCTCTCCTGAGTGGCCGGTGGGCTCGAACCGCCCACTTTCCAGGTAGCCGTCTAATGCTTAACCCACTGTAACACCAGGTCTCCTTTTTCCTATTCTATACTCCATAGTGGATGCCACCATAGGCTCAAACAAAACAATTGTGAGATGACATGGGACCGGGCATGTTTGCTGAGTCAGCACTTATTGAGCAGCTTTTGCTTGTTGTTGTTTTAAATGTTTTTGTGTCTATGAAATCCAGGAAAGATAAATCTATAGAGACAGTAATGGGGTGAATGGT